TTCTGCCTCCCAGTTCCTCTACAGTTTCCATTTTCCTCACTGGAAAACGGCTTTTTCGTTCACTTTTACCTTCCAGGCAAGTCTCCCGCCTCCATCCCCTCTGTCCTCAGATAATACAAACCTCTCTGCCATCTGGGGTAAATTGAGACATGACAGTGCAGAACCTCCCCACTGGGGGTAAGGTCTGTCCTCTGACATCCTTCCTGCACACCCAGTCAGTGCCCTCCTGTGCCCCCCAAACCATCCCAACCCCCCCATGGCTGAGCAGCACGAGCTGTGCCTTGGCAGGGGCTGCAGGAGTGTGGCCACAACCCTGATCCCTGGGGAAGCACCAAGGAGCTGGTTTGTTTAGTCTGGAGAAGAAAAGCTGGAGAGGAGACACAGCATGGCTGCACCTCACAGGTGGTGCTCATGAGAGAGCATTGCCAGAGGAGGGGTTTGTGCCAGCGTGGAAGCTTGGTGGCCAAACAGGTGAAGCTGCTCCTCAGGAAAGTCCTGCCCTGGCATTAAAAAGAAGAACCTGGGTTAGAAACTGGCTGTGCCTTAAGAGCTCTAGAAGTGGTTGGGGTTGTAGGGAAGAGTCCAACACTTGGACATTCAGACAGCTGGACTTACACACAGATTCCTTCAGGAGCTCCTGCCTCCCAGTCCTGGCTGTCCAAGAGCTGCCACATCCAGGGTGGGCACTGAGGTGGCTCTGGGGGGAGCAGACCTGCACACACAGCACAGCCAGGGAGCCACAGCCACGACAGAGCCAAGGGGGAACCCGGGGAGGCAGAGGGGATTGGGACCAGCCCTGAGAGGGGCACTGGGAGAAGAGCAAGGAGCCAGGAGTCAGCCCCCAGCAGTGGCCATGGAATACCTGCACCGAGCAGGACAGAGCAGTGGCTGTGGCAGAGCTGGGATGTCCCAGCCCCTTCCCAGCCAGACTCTCCCCACCCCCAATTCCACCCTTTCCCCAGCTCAGCCTCCGCAGCAGCTCGAGGTCACCCCCTTGTCTCACTCATTAGCAAGAAGCCAGGATTTGCTCTTTGATTTATTTAAGCCCTGACAACGACTCAGAAGTGTTGGAAGTGCAGTTTTTCACCACCGACTAAAAATAGCCGAGTGGAATTCCAGAGCTGCCTCCCAGCGCCGCGGGCCGGGCTCGGCTGCCCAGGACAATGGCATTTGCAGCCCGTGAGCAACAACAGCACAGGCCGGGCTCCAGCTCCCGAAATAACAGCTTAGAAAGGGCAAATTCTGGCTTTAATTACGGCAAGACAAAAAAATGGTGTTTAAAAAGTGCATTATCAGAATATCTGAGCAGCTTCACAGCAAACAGGGCAGGCAGGGAGGGCAGGGCGGGCTCACTACCCATGACATGAAAAGGAGCAGGTAACACTGAGGGTTGGGGCATGGGCAGCTGGAACGTTTGGAAGAGCTGAAGCCCTTCAGTGTGAGGAAACAGAAGCAGGCAGGCAGCAGGAGCTGATGATCCTCTGCAGGCGCTGCAGCAGAGCCTCCCCCCAGCCCTCCCTGGCAGTGCCCGGCCAAGCTCGGCTGGACACGGGGATGGGACCCTGGGTGTGCTCTGAGCCACTCTGAGATGCCCAGCACCAGCTCCACGGGACAGCCTGGAAGTGGCACTTCATTTATTCTCTCAATTCCAGCTGATCAAGGCCAGATCCCTTCCAGGGATTTCCCAGCCCATGGTCCAGCAGGCAGGTGGGTGGAAATCCATCCATCCATCCATCCATCCATCCATCCCTCCATCCATCCCTCCATCCATCCATCCATCCATCCCTCCATCCAATCCAGCTATCCCTCCATCCATCCAATCCATCCCTCCCTCCCTCCATCCATCCATCCCTCCATCCATCCTTCCATCCAATCCAGCTATCCCTCCATCCATCCAATCCATCCATCCCTCCATCCATCCTTCCATCCAATCCAGCTATCCCTCCATCCATCCAATCCATCCATCCATCCTTCCATCCAATCCAGCTATCCCTCCATCCATCCAATCCATCCCTCCATCCATCCAATCCATCCATCCCTCCATCCATCCTTCCATCCAATCCAGCTATCCCTCCATCCATCCAATCCATCCATCCATCCATCCATCCTTCCATCCCTCCATCCATCCTTCCATCCAATCCAGCTATCCCTCCATCCATCCAATCCATCCATCCATCCATCCCTCCATCCATCCTTCCATCCAATCCAGCTATCCCTCCATCCATCCATCCATCCCTCCATCCATCCATCCATCCATCCATCCTCCATCCATCCGCTATCCCTCCATCCATCCAATCCATCCATCCATCTCCATCCATCCCTCCATCCATCCTTCCATCCAATCCAGCTATCCCTCCATCCATCCAATCCATCCATCCATCCTTCCATCCAATCCAGCTATCCCTCCATCCATCCAATCCATCCCTCCATCCATCCAATCCATCCATCCCTCCATCCATCCTTCCATCCAATCCAGCTATCCCTCCATCCATCCAATCCATCCATCCTTCCATCCAATCCAGCTATCCCTCCATCCATCCAATCCATCCATCCTTCCATCCAATCCAGCCATCCTGCCTGGCTCCCAAACCCAAACCTGCAGCCCTCGACCGCTTGTGGCTGGAAGTGGCCACACTTGCCCCCTCCCAAACCCCCTTCCCAGGTCCAAGCTGTATCAATTCCATGTGCTGAAGGTAGTCGAGGCTCCTGGATGGGAGCACTGCAAGGGTGATGCTCACCTTTACACAGCAGGAAAACCCACCTGATCCGCTGCAATATTTGGTGTGAAAAAAGGCTGGAAATCAGCACTTTTAGCCAGGAAACAACCTGAGTGCAACTGGAACAAAAGCCAGGCTGCAACAGAACTGCTTTCTGAAGGGTGAAAGGGACCCAGCGACTGGATCTCGGCAGCTGGAAGGAAGAAAAGAGTTTCACCACCTCTCTCTCCAGTGGCCTCATCCTTCTGTCAGGGTGAGGTGCCTTTGGAAGTGTTCCAGGGGCAGCTGGAGGGTCCCAGACATGCCTCAGGGCAGCCCAGTGCACGTGGCCAATGAGACCCACTTGTGTTTTCTCACTGAAACGTGAAGGGGGAGAGACAGGAGAACCAGCCAAGATCAGTGAGGAAACAGCAGCTTCCAAGCAGGTCTGGCGTGGAGCAGCTGTGACACTGGAGGAGACAGCTCTGGGCAACCCTCCACAGCAGCCAGGCCTCGCTGCTCCTCCTTTCCCCGGGAATGCAAAACTGGAAAGCAGAAACCAGGCTTGCTGGTGCTGCCATAAAGGGTGAAATGAGAAATATTTGGGGTTTTTTAACAATACACATCCACATGCCTGGTTACACCAAGTGGGGAGACGGGTGGGCAGTTTTCTGCAAGCAGCAGCTTCTCCTGTGCCTGCTCTGACTGAGGGGATCATTTTTATATTTTTTATTTGGTGCTGACCTCAGCTCAATGCTTTGACCTGTACCACAAGATGAATGGTGATCCCTTTTCTGTACTTAGGTCACAGACAGCGTAAGATTTGCGCATCATTGTTATTTCTGCTCCAGCAGAAATGGCACATCTCCGAAACTCTGGTATCCGGAGACCCAAGGACAGCAAGCCCAGACCCTCCCGTCTGCTCCAGCTGCAGATCAAACACTGGGGGAGGCAGGGACTACAAAACAGGAAGCCTCAGGCCTCAAGAACAACTCTTGCTGCACCAACCTGCATGTGACAGCAACAGGCAAAGAGCCTCCCACCCAGATCCTGCTGCTCTGCTGTGAAGGTGGATGCTCAGCCTCAGCCAGAGCATCTCAGCTGAGCAACACCAGCCAGGAGATGATTTCACACATCCCTTAAAATTCCTGATACTAATGATGTCTTTCCCGTATTGCCTTCCCAGCTGGGGCAGGAGGCAGGTGCTCTCTGGACAGCCCTGGTTACACTGAGCTTGGCTGCAGAGACCAGAGGTGGCAGTTCAGGCCCACGGAGCCTGAGCGGGTCCGGCGCCAGGAGCGAGGGCAGGAAAGGCCCCTGAAAAAAAATGCTCAGGTGTTCTGTGACTGGAAGGTTAAGGGCAGGTTTCTGCACCTGCAGGCTGCCCTTCACCTGCCTCAGGTGTTCAGGAGATCACCACAGGTAACACTCATGGCACAACAGCCTTTGGACTTGGGGTGTTGGATTTCTTCCTCCCATCCTTAAATGAAGACTGGACGTGGCACTCAGTGCTCTGGTCTAGTTGACAGGGTGGTGATCACTCATGGGCTGGACTTGGCCTCAGAGGTCTTTTCCAACCTCATTGATTCTGTGATTCTGAAGTCGAGGTTTTAAGCTACAGCTTAAACAAGCAAGTGAATGTGCTGGAGAAACACAGGATCCCTGAGGCTGGAAAAGCCCTCCAGGATCATCGAGCCCACCCTGTGCCCCATCCCCACCTTGTCCCCCAGCCCAGAGCACTCAGTGCCACGGCCAGGCCTTCCTTGGACACCTCCAGGGATGGGGACTCCAACACCTCCCTGGGCAGCCCCTGCCAGTGCCTGAACACGCTTTCCAGGGAGAAATTCCTCCTCATGTCCAACCTGACCCTCCCCTGGCACAGCTGGAGGCCGTTCCCTCTCCTCCTGTCCCTTGTTCCCTGGGAGCAGAGCCCGACCCCCCCCGGCTCCCCCCTCCTGTCAGGGGGTTGCAGAGCCAGAAGGTCCCCCCTGAGCCTCCTTTTCTCCAGGCTGAGCCCCCCCAGCTCCCTCAGCTGCTCCTGCTGCTCCAGCCCCTTCCCCAGCTCCGTTCCCTTCCCTGCACACGCTCCAGCCCCTCAGTGTCTCTCTTCCATGAGGGCCCAGAACCGGACACAGCCCTGGAGGGGCCTCAGCAGGGCCAGCACAGGGGAAAAAACTGGTCCAGAGAGAAACATAAGCCCAGCTGAAAGAGCTGCCTCCACACTCCAGCACTGACCTGAAGCTGGGACCAAGCTGAGAGTAAAAAGCAGGAGTTTCCTGAAGAAAATAAATCAGGAGTCCATACTATATTCTTAAATATGGTTTAATACTCTTCTCCATTTCTGTACATCACAACACCAAGATATCACTGCTTGGGATCTCTCTGCAGAGGCTATATAGTAGCGAAGGCTAGGAATTTCCACCCCTGTTGAACGTGTTTGCATGTGTAAGTGTAATACATATCAGTATATATTGATATACACATCAATATATAATGCAATATATATCACTGAAGAGAACACATTGATTAAAGAAATACAAAAATTTGGCATCATTTCCAAACTTAAATAGTAAAAATAAAAACTACAAAAAGGAGCTGCATACCCTAATGTATCATGTGAAACAACAAGCAGTATATTCAAAAATGTAAATTTACATCCAATTTTTGTGGTCTTGTCATGTCACATTAGACCCATTTACAATGGCAGAATCCAGAACATACCGCTGTGAGGGCCCCGGGGGTGCTCAGACCTGGCTCTGGGCACAGCCACGGCACACCCAGTCCCACCTTCCGTGAGAATTCCAGCTTGGATGTGAGAGCGACAGCAAAGCCACCTGCCAGGTTAGAGACCAGGGTTACAAATTGTATTGCTCACAGGAATTTTGGACCTCAAAGAACAGCGTGGCAGAGATTTTAAGACAAGCTCCCCCTCCGTTCAAGTGAACCAGGATCATGGGACAAGAGGCAGGTTTGCAGCCGGCGACGCACCAGGAGGGCAGGACAGGCCCGGCTCCCCCGGGAGTGCCAGGAACTCACACCCCGGGAAGAGGCAGGACCAGAGCCCTGGGAAGAAGCAGGACATGTGCATGTGCATGTGCATGATCTGTGCCAGTGCTCCCCTGGCCTGCAGGACCCCCCAACACCCGGAGCAGGTCGGGCTGTGCTCTGTGGAACGGGCAGGACACAGAGCCTTGGGGGTCTGGGGCACCCAGGGGCTTTAACCCATGAAGGGCACATCCCCTCCCGGACAGACACTGCCTTAGTGCTGGGAGATGGTGTCCCCAGGGCCTGTGCCAGCGCTCCAAGGGCTGGTATCCAACGTTCCACACCCCCAGCACTAAAGTTTCAGCCTTCACTGACTCAGTATTCCTGTAAAATACCCACTTCCCTTAAAGAACTGTGGGTTCAAATTCACATAATCAAGGAAACCTTACGCAGTCCTAAAGCAAAAAGAAAAACTTACTGAGGAACAAAAAGCCAAGTGTACCTTACTTCACTGAAATCTCATGTTTATTTTTGTCAAGACTGAAAAAAAAAAAATAGAATTCCTGAAGGCTGCACTGCTCAAATCCAAATTAAGCCCGAGACTTCAGCAGCATTTCCATTGCAATCCATGAAGTGCATTTCCTAGTTTACAAGAGCAGTGTTTCTGCAAACAGATTAAAGCACGTTTGGCTGGTGAGCCTCCCCAAACCATTGGAATTTGCAAGCCACACGTTATGAACTAGCACTCAGGTCAGTGCCTCTTCAAGCTTTTGAAGAGAATGGCTCCAACCTCGTTACATTTCTTCTGCAGTCTAAGCTGAGAATGCCATGTAAATGGGTCACGGCGCTGCCAAATGCAGCAATTGATTTCTCCAATCAAAGTATAAAGAAACAAACCAGTAGGATCTTACTTCTATTAATTTTTGAAGGAAGAGGTTTACAGCAGTTAATGTATCATGAAGGTTAAAAAAATCATTTCCATAAAATACAAGAGCAACCAATTTCACCATTGAGTAAAAGTAAAAACTGGGATTCTTTTTTAAATTAGTCCAAAGTGGCATATAGGAACTTAGTAGTTTGCTGCTGTACTGACACTATGACAAATCAAAGTGTAGGGTTTTGCTTTCTTAAATCCAATGCTTGTGGATCAAGTTCTGGAAATGTTCCAATTCTAAGGCAGGGATCTGTTGTGTTTTCCACCATGAGTTTGCTCCTTGGGTTGGATGCTGGAGGGGCGAGGCACGTTTTGCCGGACCCAGGTCGACTACCTAGTAGTCATCAAGGTCAAAAAATTCATCGTCTCCTCCTTGGTATTCCATGCCCTGGAAGTCCACTCGGTACCGCAAGATACCTGGCAAAGACAACACGCTTTAGCTTCTTCAAAATTCCACCTGAGCAGTTTCCTGAGCCCTGGCTGCACATCCAGAGCTTCCCAATTAACGCTCAGCAGCCAGCTCAGGCTCCTGCTGAGCCCTGCCAGCAGACATGCAGCTGGAGTGACAAATCCACAGGGAACTCACGGCCAAAAGGAAGGAATGCCCACCTGCCCAGCCAGGCCAGATTCCTCCTGGAAGAGCTGAGCCCATTCTAGAATCGTATCACAGAATTATGAAATGGTTCGGGTTGGAAGGGACCTTAAAACTCATCTCATCCCCCCCCTGCCATGGGCAGGGGCACCTTCCACTAGCCCAGGTTGCTCCAAGCCCCATCCAACCTGGCCTTGGACACTTCCAGGGATCCAGGGGCAGCCACAGCTTCTCTGGGCAACCTGGGCCAGGGCCTCACCACCCTCACAGGGAAGGATTTTCTTCCCAACATTTCTTTTAGGGTTGTATTTCCAAAAAATACCAGTAGCAGATCACTTGTTCCAATGTAACTGCTCCGACAGAGGCCTGTCAGTTAAATCCAGAGGGCAGCTGGCACTGAGGTTACTTTTACAGTGCAGGAAAAGCAGGATTTAGTGGCTGTATTCCTGGACTCTTCCCACCCTAAACACCAATCCAGGGTTCTGGGAAGCCTTATCCCATTTACTGAGGTGAAGGCTATTTTCAAGGAGTATTTCCCTTCCAGTCTACCAGGCCTGGGAGCAAAGAGGATCCCACCATGTGAAGAGGCTGGATCTGGCAGGAAATTAAGGACTCCTGGAATTACAAACCTGAACACTTGGAAACCTGTTGCTCCTTATGTAGCCAGAGAATCCAAGCTTGTTTCCTTCTGATTGGTTCTCTGGGCCTAGAAATTCCTGTTTCCAACACATTCATCCCTGGCTCACATCCATCAAGCCAAGCACAACCAGAGGCAGAGCTGGCTTAGCAGCAAAGCAGTCCCAGCTCTGTCCTGGAATCCCTGGCCTGGGCAGAACATGGAGCGTGGCAGGTGGTTGTGCCCTACCCCACCAATGATTTTTGTCAGCCTGAAGCACAGGATCCACCTGCACCTCTGCTGATCCTGGTCACTGAGCTCAGGAGAAGGACTAAAGCCTTCCAGGGCCTCATTGCTCCATGAAGTTGGGCTAAAAACACTTTTACTTTGACAAGAAGCACAAGACCAGGGAGCCAAGTACAGGGAAGGTCTGAGTAAGGGATCCAACTGCCCCAGGAGCTGGGCTGGGGTTTGTCACACCCCCCAGCACACAGGGCACTGCAGAGACACAGTGAGGCAGCTCAGGGCCCTCCTGACATGCCCAGCTGGAAAGGAGGGCAGATCCCCCTCTGAGCACTCTGGAGGACAGAGGGACTGAGGAACACAGCTGGACAGTGACAGCTGCCCACCAGGCATCATCATCCTGCTGCACATGGAATGAGTTCACCTGGACATCCCTGGTGAACACCATTTCTTCTTGAACCAGTTTCGTGACTGACAGGACTAAGACTAATCCCACTATTGGTACCAGACTATCAAATCAACCACTAAACCCCCACCCCCACATTTTTCTCTTGCAATTTACCTCCAATTCCTCCAAATCCTTTCACAAATTGGGATCCTTCTTGTGATTTGTCTGTAACAATTTCCAATGTTGCTCCAAATTTCTTGTAGTTGTTTGCAAACCACTCCAGGAGGGGCATACTTTCTATCAGTTCGTGTTCCTGCCCAGTCTGTGGAGACATTGGAAGGGAGAAATGAATAATAAAAACTGTCCTGGTCACTGTCTGTTTGGTATTGAGAAAATTCACACCAAAAGTTGGCTTTGGCTTAAAAATCACCACGGTTCTGTCATTCCCAAGAAGGACAGCAGCCTTAATGCTCCACAGGAAGCTTCGTGGTGGAAGGCATTCCTGACACAACTGTGTCAGGCAGTGCTGGCTCAAGCAGAAGGCTCCTGGTGCTATAAAATGAAACACTGACAGGCCTTGTTTTGGGCCTCTCTAATCTGGAACTTGGGGCAAAAGCCAGAGAGAAAATGCCTTGTTTGTTCTTCTGCTCAAGTGTCACCTCATGCTACACTCTCAGTTTTCATTGTTCCTTTAGACTTGTTCTACACCCTGCAAAGATTCCAGCCCACTCAAACAGGCACTGCTTCCCGTCAGGAGCACTGATCCATGCAGATACAGAGGCCAAAAGCACAGTTTTGTAACTAGAAGGTCAAGTGATTATTGACATAGACACACATCACTGCAGGTAACACTGTAGACCTTCCATGCACAGAAGGAATCAGCAATTCCCTCCAGCAGGGAAAGCAGCTGGAAATGGCCTCCCTGGCACAACTCTGATGACTCAGGGATGCCTACCCTTTGGGCAAGGGACACACTTTTTTGCCCAGTTTACTCTGCAAAGTAACACAGACCCCCCCACACCCCATCAGGGCTTTCTGACCTGCACGGGCAGCAAATGACAGCTCCACACATCCAACACATCCCACAGCAAACACTGCCCTGCACCTCAGTCTGTGTCATGCTCTGTAACCTCACAGTGGTTCTGCACGGACCAAATCAGTGCACAGTGAGCAGGGAGCAATGGTTTGGGACCTTGGCCTGCATGGTGGCCACCAAACTCCTGTAGCAGATGGTCTGAAGGTGGCCAAAGCCCCTGTACTGCCTGTCGCCTCAGCCCATTTACACAGCCTTGGAACTGGCAGCAGGGAACACTGGAGAAAAGCAAGTCCAGGGGTTACACTGGAGGTGAACAGAAGAGCCACAGGTCTTGAAGTCTCACATGAGTGCCAGGAGGTCACCACGCTCATGTGCTTGTGCCAAACTAAGCCCAGATGTCCAGAGCCCTGCACCAGTAACTGAGAATAAACCCACAAGCCCCAAAGCTGGAATACCTCCTTATCTGTGAAGTGGGATTTATCCTTCTCTTGTTCTGGTGTCAAATACAGGATCTTCTCCTCTGAGAAGCAAGAAAAAAAAATAGTATTAGGTTGCATAAAAGTACCAGATGCAGGTTAAAGGCAGCAAGAGACTGAGCACAGCCAGCAATTACAGCTCAGAGGGTCTGCTCACTGCCACTGCCTCCCTTTCCAGCTGAAGCTCTCCCAGCAACCAAGGAGGGCACAGCAGCAGGGAACAGCTGTAGTGCCAACACCAGAATAGGGAGAGGCCCTGCTGTGGGCACAGAGTTTGTCTGCAGTCAATGAGAATGCTGTTTCTGGCCCTAAGGGTCACATCAGCCTCCCCTCTGGCATCACACTTTCACAGCTGGAAGGCAGGTTCCAGGCTGGCCCTGTGACAAACTGCCACCCTGGCACTGCAATTCCCTCTCTGCAGGGGAATCCTGCTTGTTACAGGATTTTCCCCCGGAGCTGGGAAGCTGCAGGTCAGTGACCTGCCCACACAACCTCCCTGTGATCAGATCTCCTCAGGGAGCTCCTCCAGAGTGACCTCTCCCCGTGACACAGTTCAGGTGTCAAACCCTCAAGGACCCGGTCTCCCAAAGCGCCACCTACCCTCCGTGCCTTGGCAGTGCAGGACATATCTCATTATATCCAGGTTTTCATAGACTATCAGTATCTCTACTGCTCCCATTTCCAAAGCTTTTAGTGTATCTTCCACACCAAAGCAGTACTTCCCCGTGTCCTGACTGATCTCATCGAAGTATCGTCCTGCAGCCAGGGCACAAAGAAAGAGACTGTCACCAGCACTCATCCCACCACACACAGCTTGAAACAAGCTTCATTTGAATGCAAGAAGAAGAAACTGTCACCAGAAGGCCTGGAACTAAGGCAATCTCTGGTGAAAGGCTGGAGAAGGCTAAAGAAGATGGGGAGAAAAAATTAAACAAACATCCCCCCCAGTATTTGAGGTGCCCAGGTAGCAGAAAGGATCACAAGTCACACTCTCAGCCACCATGGCAGGGCTGGGGCAGCCCAAAGGCACTTCCAGGAGGTTGGAAGCATGACCAGCATATTCAGTCACACGTGCCTGGCTCAGGAGGAGGCTGCACGTGCAGCACTTACCTATTAGTTTTTTCTCTTGGATGAATTTCACATTGGAGAGGACCTCAGTTGACAATTCAATCGCTTGATTGAACCCATTTTCTCCTCCATATGAAATGTCAACTAGTTTGAGCACTTTGGATTGCAACCGCTAAACATGGGAAAGAGGAGACAGGAAAAATGAAATCTATTCCAGAGCAGGGCCATCAGATTCCTTCATCCCACCACAAGAGTACAGGCCTGGCAAGAGTCACTGCATTCATCTGCTGGGCTTCACTTGCAAGCACAAGCTCTGAGTCAGAGGGACCTCTGAATGCACGATATTGAACCACAATTTTCAGGCAACAGGAACACTAAGATTTGGTTTATTGGAGTTTAATTCCTATAAAGCTTCTACTTTAGATTTAGGGAGACAAAGAACATGGATGCTATTTCCAAACCAGGGAGGACAGATTTCTTACTGGTACTGTTTTAAGAAAAGGAGATCTCCTGCAAGGAGGGATTAGGATTAGCTCTTTGGATACTCCACACTTTTAGTTCTGATCCAGTCACTTCAGACACAAGTTACACCCCTCCCGAGAAGCATCTCAGGGCTACTGTCGATATCACCACGTTACCACCAACAGCTTCAACAGGGGAGCTCTGCTCAGGAAAGGCCACTCACCTGATCAAACATGTCAGACTGACTGAGTTCAGTTTTGAAATCAGCTGACCCAGCCAGGACGAGCCCGGCCACGTTGACCTTGTCCCCGGAGATGAAGAGCTGCACGGCCGTCTCGGCCACCTTGCGCACGTAGTTGTGCCGCTTCTCCATCCGCAGGCGAGCGAAGCGCAGGGCGGACTGACCTCCCCGACCTGCATGAGAGGGCTGAGCCAGCCTGGGCACCACTGCACTCCAGGAGGGCTGTCAGAACACGGGCCCAACCAGGCCCTCAAGAACCAAAGCCAAGGGCAGCTGCGGCAGTCTGCCACAAGCCAAGTCGTGACACTCGTGGCACAGGCAGTGAACAAAGAGAGTCCATTCACAGCAAGAGATTTTTCTCCACATATCCCATAGAGGAAAATATGGTGATTTTCTTTTCTTTCTATACAGACTCACAACTCTCTATAGAAACTGAACATCTGTGCACATTCTGCATTTCCTTTGGTGCACTGCTGCAGTGAGCCCAGCAGCCCCTGCTGCACCACCTTACTGCGGGACACATTTCTGTTTCGTTTTGTCTCATCCCACTCTCCACAGGACAGTAGGCCAGGAATACCTAACAGTCAGTGCCTGACTACCACAGAGCATTATAGAGTGGAACTCAAATTCTCCTTGCTCCATGAGGCTTCTGTGCTTCTTGCAGGGAACAACTTCCTGCTCTTCACTGATGTTTGCACACAACACCACGGGATGCAAACTTTAAACCAAGTGGGATTACTACCTGTGCTACTAACATTTCATTAAAACTGTCCCAAAACCAAGTAAAGGGTCAAATGCACCAAGAAATAAAAAGTGCCACTTTTAGGATCAGCTGCATAGTACCATGATTCATTAATTCTGACAGAAGGTTCAGACTAGAGGCTTTGCTGTCAGATTCCAAGGAAGCAAAGACTTGAATAGAGCTAAACCCCTACAGGCCAAGTTCCCTGCTTCCACTCCCACATCCCACCCCAGGACATGCTGCTGCAGACAGTCTAGAGGCAGACTAGTGTGTTACCATGCTTCTTTGGAAGATCCACAGTGAATTTGTGCAGGACTTCTCGTGTGTTTCCTTGCAGGGTTCCAAAGAGTGCCCCACTCCCATCTATTACAATAAAGCCAAACTTGCTGTCGTCGGAGAGCAGCGCCGTGAGGGCCTGGAACAGAGCAGAGGTGTCACTGAGCACAGGGGGTGAGGGACCCTGGCTCAGACAGGCCACCACAGACAGCACAGCTCAACCAGTTTGAGTTCTGTAGGTGGTCATTGCTGTTTGTTTTACAAATAAACTACAGGAAGAGCAGCAGATTCAGGAGCTGTGACTATTCCAGCCCACTGCAAAATGGTTTGGGTTGGAAGGGACTTTAAAGATCATCTCATTCCACCCCCTGCCATGGGCAGGCACACCTTCCACTAGCCCAAGCTGCTCCAAGCCCCTTCCAACCTGGCCTTGGACACTTCCAGGGATCCAGGGGCAGCCACAGCTTCTCTGGGCAACCTGGGCCAGGGCCTCCCCACCCTCACAGGGAAGGATTCCTTCCATATACAATCCAATCTCATGCAACACTGTCAAGAGCATAAAGGAAACTCGAGTTTAATTTTGATCACTATTTCACAGCCTTGCCAGTTCCTCACCTGAGGTCACGGGCAGGTGTGACAGCACAGCCCCAGAGATGGGCTCAGGGAGGTGAGAAGGGAAATGATCACACCTACAAGGCTGCAGCACCTCCCTGGCTGGCACAGCTGGAAGAGTCATTTTCCCAGCACTCCAGCCAGGAAAGCAGAACTTGTTCAGTTGACTGTCAGTTCATTTTTGCACTCCAAAGCACTGACACAGCCTCTCAACTCACCTCTACCACAACTACTGGGCTGCTGCACTTGCTGACTTCAAGCCCCACAGGCAGAATGATTAAATCTATAGTGTCTGTGGCAGATTCAGCCTTACAGAACACAAGTCACAGCAGCAATAGTTGTTCTGTGCATAACTGCTTATGGAGAAGACAGCCATAACATTTGCTGCAAAATGAAGTTATCCTTCCATTTTCTTCCCTGTAAAGGAGGCAGCTGAATTCATCCCATAAGGTCATTTAAGCTGACCAACAACTAAAGCACTGCACAGCATCAAGGGGTTTGAGTTACTTTTGCCCACCTTCCTGCCCAGCCTCGCTTCTGGTGGTGTGGGACATCCCAAGCACCCCACCCTAAACTCCCATTTCAAGGGAATCTGTCAGCAACTGCTCCCTCAAGGGCCACCTGAGCAGGTGGAAACATCCAGCACACACACTCCTTCTCATTTATACATGCCCCAAAAAACTAATAGCCAGAATCCTCTTTCTAACTGGCAAACCCACATCAGCAGGATGGAGAACTTGTCAAACTCCAGATTGCTTTAAGTCCCCAGTTTAATACTGAAAGTGATGGTGCTGGTTTACTGCACAGGCCCTTTAGCCTGCCTGCCTGATTACTGGGCTGAACTGAAAGGATAAAAACCATCAGTCATCCTCTTCCAAAATCCACAAACCAAGCTACAGCTTTCGAGCTTCAAAGAAACAGGCACTAAGGTTTAATGGAATCTCCTGGCCAAAATAAATATTCTGTATTAATTCCCCAGCAGTGGGATGAATGAGAGGAGGAAGTGGCATATTACATTGCAACTGGGACAGAGCCAAGCAAATCGTGTGACTGGAATGAATGCTCCAGCCAAGGTATCAAAATAAGTCATTGTAAGCTCTGCCCCTCAGACCCATCGGGCTCCGATCCCCTCGGGGAGGTGCTTTGGTTTCACACAGGCAATAAAACATCCAGAGGAATTCTTATCAGATAACTCTTGCCAGGCAGCAGATGACTGCGGCTCTGATGGTCTTGATTCCCTCTTATTTCAATACAGTATCCAGTGCTCAGTGATTCCCTCAGTCTCCCCTCTGTCAGCAATTCCACTGTTTGACCTATCAAGCACCAAAAAGAGACTATTGCTTTTGTTCTGTTCCTGCAGCCTGGACTGAGTTTCCTCTTTGCAGCTTTAGCCTGAAGGTGAAGATCACCTCCCTTCCCTGCTCCTTCACATCCCCTTCTCCAGATTTCCTAGGAAATCTGTGAGTGCACAGAGCCAGCTGCCCTGTCTGTTAGCTCAGGGTACATGCTGGGGGAACCATGGGGTTAAAGGCATTGCTCTACAACCAAAGAGATGGACAAAGCCCAGAATTCGGTGCTCACATCACACAGCAGGCTTTACAGCTCCATCTGATTCTGCAGAAGTAAAATAATCCCCTACTCCCAAGGGGAGAGCACACAGCCCCAGAGGGAGGGCCTGTCAGCAATCACACCATCCGGAGCAGCAACGACCAGAGTCCTCTCAGTCACTGCCACACACCAGCACCAGTGTACTTGGAGCTGCCTCCTGGGAACAGCCTGCTGGACACTTTTGGATTGAGTCAGTGCCCTGAGGCAATATACTCAGCAGAGGACACCAAATTAATCCCTCTCCCGACAAGGCAGAAGGAAACCCACCCCTGTCCCACTGCCAACAATGGCAGGGACAAACACCTCCCTGGCTCTCTCCTGAATTCTCTTATCTACCTCTTGCTTTCACTTGCCTGTGGACACATGGACTCAGCAGAACTCTTAACCTGGACCTGTGCAGAGGTTTGTATTGCTGGTAGGCCAAAGATGTGTTGGGATTTCATCCTTTGTGGGGACACAGAATATCAGGGATGTACCTCACCTGTTCCTTCCTGTAATCCTACCCTTTGAAAGCCAGTAATGGATTGGATCTCCAAAAACCCAAGCAAACAAGCAGAACTACCTCACTGAAGGGTCTCTCAAGCCCATGTCACATGGGTTTGACAACAGGCAATTAAGTCTCAGCCCACACATCTACTGTGGTGAACAGCCTGGACGTGGGGGGAATGGTGTACTGCAAACACTGAGACCTCTGCACCTGCCAGAGCCAAAACAGAGGCAACAAACTGACTGCTATAATCCACATTACTTTAAATATGCCTCAAACCATTCATTTAACTTAATTAGATGCTGGATAAAAATAATCTCACTTTATCCCAGACAGATGAGGCACATGCCAGTTCTCCATCAAGGGTCTCAGTTAACACATCTGATATCAAGACTGGCAACACTGATAATTATCTTGGCAGTACTTTAAGGCCTGGCTTGGAATAAGATCTATGGGCCTCTACAGTTAAGAAGAAAGCTCTCTGCCTCCAGTTACAGAGAGGAGCTTATGTTTGTGGGTGACACCAACTCAGCAGTCACGGGCTGGGCCATGACATCAGTGTGGCAGGAGCTGGCAGTGTCTCAACTCCCTTCAGCAAACATCACACATTTGTGGCCAGTCACAAGCCCTCCCCAGAGCATGTGCTCCCAGAAGCCTGCTGTTCCACAGGCTCAGCACACCCAGGTGGGCCCAGGCAGCCCAGCAAAGCAGGCTGACTTTGGCTGCTGCAACAGGAGAATTCTTACCTCTGTGTGGAATTTGTTGTCACACAAATACAACGACGTATTGATTGGTTTGAAAGGTTCAAAGTCAATGTTGACCTTCTTCTCTTTTCCTTCTTCTGTCACAATTGTTCCACAGTAAACAACCAGACCATTTGGAGGTACTATAAACGACACAATGCAGTTTTAGTTCACTAAGAAACATGGCAAGTTGCACCCATCACAAACTAACTGCCAGACCTTGAGACTTATGGCAAAGTTGAAATTAAAGTTCCCAAATCTTTAAGTTTCCCTTTCCCTACCTCATTCCCTCCCAGAGCTCTACAATGGAAAACAAACTCATTTAGTGCACCTATGCCTACAATGATCTGTTAACCCCAGGAGCTTGCAAACTCACAGGACCCAGAGAAAGGCTGAAGAGCCCCATGAAGCTCTCCTAGTGCTCATACAGTGATTTACAGACTGACCATCCCAAGGAAGGCCACATGCCAGTGTAAAGGCAATAATGATGAACTCTTTCAGTGCTCATTTTAGATGGTCTGGGTCTGTTCCCTCTCAAATGATGGCAGCTGCACAGTGCATAAGGCACACAGAAGTTTCTGCTTGATGCAAAATCACTTTAATGCAAATGAACTATTGTGGAATAAATAGCTCCTAAATCTGGCCAAGTTTAGCAGAATCAGCACTGCTAAGGACAGAATCATGAGCCTGCTTATTAAAGACAAGGACCACCACACTATTCTAGTCCCAAAGTCCACCCCTGTAGTAGCCATCCAAGGGCAACATACCTGGAATATCAGTGCAAAACAGCAGCACAGGCCAACAGATTTGATTAGCAGAAAACTGCATAGTGCAGGAACTTAAGGCTGCTTCCAAGAAAGGGAAGTGTGCCAGCATCCATACAAGCTAGAAGTTACCTTTGTTATAGAGTTTCAGTCTTTGCTGTACAGATGTAATGGCTCCCAGTACTGAAAGGCGATTCACTCGAGACTTAATGTTGGAGGCAGTGCCAAACTCGTCCGCCAGCATTTTCGCCACTCGCGAGATCTGGTCTTTGGGGGGAATGATCAGTGATATCATGCTGGTACCATTGCTGAGAAGGGAAAAGAGAGGGGTTGTGAGCAGCCAGCCACCAAAGCAACAAGTGTACCCACACGATATTCCATACAGGCCATTGTCTCCCATCCCTCCTGCCCCGCCAAGGATGCTTCTTCACTGCTACCAGTGTAATTCCCCTTCTGCTGGACAGTAATGGGACAGTAAAGAAAATAAAACAGGCTCTTCAGAGGATTTGACTCCATAACCCAGTGTTCAGGTTTGCCACTACCAAGCACGTCCTCCAAAAACTGCTTGTTAAACCTGGGATGCTACTGTGGGAAAAAAAGAACACCCGTGCAGGCTAAGGGCTGGGAGCTGGAGGCAGGGAAGCAGCTCCCAGCAGAGATTATTTCAAACAGTGCAGCCACATACTTTAAGGACCATTCCATTTGTTCTCAGACAGCTGGAGCACCCAGCAGCCCAAGTGCTGTTTTAACACTTTGTTCTCCTCAGATTAATACAGAAAACAAAACTGGAAAGATCCCTTTGCCTCAGTCAGCCTTTTGTATCTCCCCACTAGCACTCTGCTCTCCAGAGCATCTCCCCAGCTCTGGCAGCTGCTTTAACTAAACTGTGCTTAAGTACATGACTGCTGGTTCACAAGCACCAACCCCAGGCATGGAGTCAGGAGATAAGGCCCCACAAATCACAGAAAAGGCTTAAATTACATGAAAATAAGTAAGTTTGATATTGATTTCTCCTACGGCTTTGGGATGGATCCTGCAGAGGTCTTAATCCCCAAAGCCGCCTCATGGTTCAAATCCATCCAAAGCCAGAAGGAAAATTGGGGAAGTTCCCATCTGCCTTCCAGCAGGTACCTCCCATTTGCCATTGAAGTATCTCAGATGTCTGAAGTGCTGCTTCTGCATTGTCTCATATTTAACCCAGACCTCATGCTTCCCATTAGAGTAATGGCAAAAAAATCAAATACCTCATCATATCCTCCAGCCCTCTCTCAAGGGCAAACCAGCTAAGCTCTGTGAAAAAACCTCTTCTCAGGATTCTGAGTCAGAGAACCAACAAAGTGCTTTTCAGACATGAAAAAAATGGGGTTTTGCTCTTTTACATTTCTTAGGGGAGGAGAAGACTAACACAGCCCCTGCCTGCTGCTGTTGCAGACTGTCACACACTAATGTCCTGCCTGAAGTGTTTGGGCTACAGAGGCAGCAGGGAAGTGCTTTAAAAAGCATCACTTCATTAGCCTCTTTACAGAAGTTGGACAGCCCTCTCCCAAAGATCTTCAATCCAGGCCAAGTTGAAACAGATGCTGGTAGGTCAAATAAGTCCCCGACCTTAAAGACAACTAATTGGTTTTAATATCCAAGATCCCCATACACACTAATCAAGAAAGTCACAGAGACATTTGCCCGTGTTATTCCCAGAAGGAGCTTTGAGCCATGCTGACAGCTCTCAGGCTTCCAGGTCACACCAGCCAAGAACACTCCAGATCCTGCTCAATTAAAGCAGTTGGCTACCCCAGAGAATGGCACCAGCCTTAGGGGAGAGATAATGGCCTATCATCCCCAGCAGGCTCCTTTGAGGAAGAGGTTGATCAGAATGAAAGCAACTCTTCCTAACTTCCCTGAAAGTAGCACTCATCTCTTCCTCTGAACAAAGAAAGTCTCAGACTTCCCAGAGATTAGACTATCACAACCTCCTGCATTAACTTAGGGCATCTCAGTGTGGCAGGTGGGTGCTCCCTGGCTCTCCTGCTAGGAAGAGAGTTCATACAATTTTTCCTGAACTGAGGACAGAGGGGAAAGAGCAGACAGAGTCATGTCACTGGCTGCCTGGGAGAAGAGCCCCCACACCTACATTTCCTGTCAGGGAGCTGCAGAGCCAGAAGGTCCCCCCAGAACCTCATTTTCTCCAGGCTGAGACCCCTCAGCTGCTCCTGGTGCTCCAGCCCCTTCTCCAGCTTTGTGAACAGCAAGAAGGAAGGCTGGGTGTGCCCTCCCAAGATCAATCCTTCAGTAAAAAAGCCTTGTAAAGCTACCTTCAGTTTTTAAATGCAAGGTAGCCCTCAGATCCCAGCCCTAGCCCCGTGCTGTGTTCCACTGCCCCAGAACTGAGCACTGAGCACCCGTGGGATCAGACTGGGGGTTATTTGTACCACACACAGCACCTCAACTACAGAGCAGAGACACATCCCTGGCCCTTGGGAACACCCTGCCCAAGGTGACACAGTGACCTTCACAAGCCCTCGTGATTTATTACTGCAAACAGACAAACCAGAAGGGTCTCTCAGATGCTGCATTCCCTCCCCCTCACTTAAATCTCAAACTAGTTCAACACAGCACAGCACTGTGCTTGGTCTAACCCTTCAGCAAATTCCAGCCTGGATTTATATCCAAAAGCACCTTCCACTACCAACATCAAGTGCACTTCTCGGCTTTGGCATGCTTTCACCACTACAGAGCCAAAGCTATTTTTGGCTCTAACCAATTCCTGCAGAATCCAGTGACACAGCTGCTGTGCAGCTTGCCACGGGAGCAGCAGCAGCCCGAGCACACCGTGGCATCCCAGGCTGCTGGAAGCCTGGAGCACCAGGAACCAGCCAGCATGTCACCAGTGTCCCTGGACACCCAAGGGGGGAGCCCCTGCCACGTGCTGCTGCTGCCACTGCCCGCTGGGCACAGCCCAGCCACCCAGCCCAGCGGCTCATTAGGCAGCCAGGTAACAGCCAGCACCCCCTGCTTGTCTCCCTCTTGCTCCAACAAGCACAAGGTCAGGACTAAACACTAAACATCCCAGAATGGTTGAAACCAGCAAGACACCAGCTGAAGCAGATGGGCAACAGGAATCAGGATGGCTGCAGAACTCCCTCACACACCACTAACACCTTGCTATCCTACCATGGAAGGGCATTTTTCCCCTCTCCAAGCAAGCTTGTGCCTTCTGACCTTCCTGCAGGATGGCAAGGTCTAAAAAACCCTGTGGTTGCATCTGCTGAACTCACCACAGTGAGACAAAACGCAGCAACGAGTTTCTAAGAAAGCTGTTGTTCAAAAACATTCAGAAAAAAGTAGGTTATTCTGCAGAGGAAGACAATTTCCAGGTCTCCTCTGGGTCTTTGCAGCCTCAACAAGACAACAGGTATTTCTGCAAATCCCATCCTGCCCCCCTGGCAGCTGGGAGATGAGCTGCCACCAGGTTCAGCAGTGCATTTACCTGGGAATGAGTCAGGTATTTCCCCTGAATCATCCTCAGGCCTCCCAAAATGGGTCTTTCCAGAGAGCAGACCCGAACCCAGGGGGCTCTGCTGAGTGTGAGGCACAGGGGATGTTCCCAGCCTGGCCCCACACACCCGGTACGGTGGTGAATTGAGTATCCAATCCAGATTAAGGGCAGTGCTCACACTGGCACCTGGGATCCAGCATGGAATGAGCTGCTTCTTCCCTGGATCACCCCCAGTGCTCCTGAAGGGAGGACAGACCCAGTTCCAGATTATATCCTGCTCAGCACAATCCCAGTTTCACAGCACCGCTAAGGTTTCCCCCTGGTTTAGGACAGCCAGCCAAGCTCTGCCAGAGCAGCTGGAAGCTAATGCTTTCCGACAGAACTGAGCCAGGGAGATGGCAGCAGCTCCAGACAGTTGCTGTCCCTATTCTGGGCTAAGGAGTGCCTGCACAGCAGCCAAAGAGCTGCCATTGTAATCCAAGGACGTGATGCTCCGGGATGTTTGCTCTGCAGGAAAGGGCATCCCAGACACAGGCCAGCACAACGTGTGCCACTGCACGTGGGACTGGGAGGGGAAAACAATCAGGGGCACCAAGGGCACCAGCCCACACACTGTAAGAACCACGGGGGCAGTTAAGTGCCAGCTCTGGGAAGGCAGAAGCCCTGTGCTGCCTGGCACTGTGGGTACTGCTCACTGTGCCAGCCCTGCCAGGAACTGGCAATTAGCTCAGATTTATCACTGCCTGGAATGAGCAGCACTAGGTATCTCTGGGATAGAACATGAGGATCCAGCCTCCAACTTTTCCTAAAGCACTGCAGGTAGGCTCCAACTTTCTCCTACAGCCTGGCAGAGAGTTGTTTGGGGAAAAAAGGGGAAGTAAGAACAAGCATATTTTGCTCTCCCAAGACAGTAAGTTCTTTTGTGTATAGGACAGTCTGTTCTTATCATTAAAACTTTGACGTTAATAAAGGAATTTCAGGCAACTGTATCACAAAACAAACAGCTTTCCCAGACAGAGAGACAAGTGTTAACAAGTTATCACAGCGAGTGGCAGCGTGGGCAGCGCTGAATCCCTGCTGACATAGGCCCAAAAAGCTGAAGGGAAAAGTCTTGCCACTCCGCCTGCAAGCAGGTACTACAGCATCCAAGGAGCTTGTTCTCCCTGCAAGGTCCTCCTGCACTGCCTAAGAGAAACCACAGAATCACAGAACATGCTGAGCTGGAAGGGACCCACAAGGATCATCCAGTCCAACTCCTGGCCCTGCACAGGCCCATCCCCAGGAGTCACCTCCTTACCCCAGAGGATCATCCACTGCACTGGGGCAGCCCCACCCGCAATGCTAGGGCAGTTTGGGGCACCACAATATAAGGAAGATATTGAGCCATTGGAGAGTGTCCAAAGGAGGGACATGGAGATGGGGAAGGGCCTTGATTTGAAGCCGTGGGAGGACACTGAGGGCACTTGATGTGTTCAGCTGGAGCAGAGGAGACTGAGGGGAGACCTCAGTGCAGTTCAACTGCCTGGGCAGGGGCAGAGGAGGGGCAGGGACTGAGCTCTGCTCTGGGGGGACCAGGGACAGCAGCCAGGGAATGGCTGGAGCTGTGTCAGGGCAGGCTCAGGTTGGATCTCAGGCAAAGGTTCTTCCCCCAGAGGCTGGTTGGGCACTGCCCAGGCTCCCCAGGGCAGTGGGCACAGCCCCAAGGCTGCCAGAGCTCCAGGAGGGTTTGGCTGATCCTCTGGGGCACAGGGGGTGACTCTTGGGGATGGGCCTGTGCAGGGCCAGGGGTTGGACTGGATGATTATTGTGGGTCCC